CCCCCCCCCCCCCCCCTGGCCCCCCGCCCCCCCCCCGGCTCGTCCCGCCGGGGCAGCCTCGCGCACCCTGCATCTGCACCAGGAACTCCGTCTTGATGCGCCGGGCCGCCTCGCTCTCGTTCTCGTTGCGGGAGCCGCACAGCGAGTCCACCTCGTCGATGAAGATGATGGAGGGCTTGTGCTGCCTCGCCAGCTCAAAGAGGTTCTTCACCAGCCTGGGCACAAAGGCAGGGGACGGGGTCCCCACTCAGGGACCCTCCGCAGCACCGACACCACCCAGAGCCCACGCCAGCCCCGGGGCGAGGAGCCGCCGGCTCTTCCTGCCCCTGCCGCCCCGGCAACCCTGCGCTCGCAGCGAGGAGGCGAGCGCCGTGCCGGCAGAGGGGCCATCCCCGGCCTGCGGAGCCTCGGGAGGGCCCCTGCTCCCCCCCAGAACCCGTTATCTGCGTTAACGGGGTTCACCGATGCCGCCGGCTCCCCTGCCCTGGCCAGAGCTCCGGCACTGCCAGCCCGGCCAGCGGGGAGCCAGCCCGCAGCAGCCGCGCATCCCTGCTGCCAGCTTACTTCTCGCTCTCTCCCAGCCACTTTGACATCAGGTCCGAGGAGGACACGGAGAAGAAGGTGGAGTTGTTGGCCTCGGTGGCCACGGCCTTGGCCAAGTAGGACTTGCCGGTGCCGGGGGGCCCGAAGAGCAGGATCCCTCGCCAGGGCGTGCGCTTCCCTGTGACAGAGGCCAGCGTCACGGCTCCCCCTTCCCTGCGCAGGCCTCATCCGCGTGGGCCCGCAGGGACACACGTCCCCGCTGCTCGGGGTCACCTCCCTGCCCCAGCTGCCGCCCCACGGCGCCTTCTCCGTGGGCGAACAGCAACTGTGGCACTGCCGCAATGCTCACCGGTGAACAAGTGTGGGAACTTGATGGGCAAGATCACGGCTTCCTTCAGAGCTTCCTTGGCTCCCTCCAGGCCGGCCACGTCACTCCACCGCACGTTGGGCTTCTCCATCATGATGGCACCTGCAAGGGGTCCCACGGAGACTGGCACCGCGCTCCCGACGTCTGCCGAGAGCCGGGGGAGCCAGAGCCCCTCTCCCTCCCCGTGCC